AGCTCAAGGGGCACCTGCTCCTGAATCCACACGCTTTGCACCAATTGATGCAGCGGAGTCACCAACGCAGGTCCGCCGTGTTTCAATACTTCAGGCGGGATCCCGTCGGCACCTGCACACTTGCAGTTTCGCAGCTGAGCAAGTGCTCTCCTCGTCTCATCCAGTGTCGGCGTGTTTGCCAGACTCGCCTTCACATCGTACTGCTTAAGGCCGTTCAATGTGAGCCAGTCAATCTCCGAACGGTTGTTCAAGAGACAGTCAAACTGTTTCCGCCAAATCTGCAGTATGTCTGCAGTCTGTGTACAGGCAGCGTCCGAACTGCCATGGATCAGCGTCCTCAGTGGCTCCAATCTCGGTCCATACACCGCCTTCAAGGAGTCAAAGTATTCTTCTGTTGGCGACGTTCGGCGTAGCATTCCATCTGCTTCGCTGTATCCGTCCACCATGCATTTTTAATGTGACGGAGCTCTCGGGTCAGTCGCCGTCGAATTCGCCCAAAACTTTTCTTCTTCCCCAAGTAACTGGGGTCTGCCACATGTGAAGCAAATGCTGCATTCTTCTCACACACCAATCCGCCAATCGTGGCATTGTTCTCGTCAAACCAGTCAGGCCACTTACAGTTTTCATGCTCCATGCTCTCCTCGGCAGCAGCTGTCCCCTGGTCGCGAATGTGGTGCCACAGGTCGCCTACTGTGGCTTTGCATTTCACATCACACAGGCGTGCAGCCATCGCCTTCTCTAGCTCCCTACGTTACGCCAAAGTACCGAGGAGAGTATTAAATTTACACCGATTCAAGGCAGGAGTGCAATACATAGATTTATGAAAATATTTGTACAGTTTGCTCCGCACCAATTTGTGATCAGAGCAGCACTCAGCCCCACGCAGTACACTTGTCATACACACTTCACGCATATCACACTGACGTACGATGACATAGTCGATCAGGTGAGCGTAACCACTCCGTGGGTGGCACACAGTGAGAATAGCCTGTCACCGTTCGCATTCGCTGGATCAATGCCATGCGGACCGATGACATCAGTCCAGACCGATGTATCACACCCAACGCGCGCGTTGCAATCACCCAGCAGAAATTGTCGGTCGCTTCTCGGCACAGACCGCATCACGGAGGTACCTGGGTGTGGAACTGATCACGCGTGTCATCAGGATAACACATGGTCGGACCGTACATGCTTATAAAAGTGGCAAACTTACCTCTTCCGAGTCGTAGGCGAACAGTCATCAGTCGCGTGCTGATGCCTGTTGGTTCACCCACCAACTAGCCATTGAGGCGTTCGGATAGTGCAAATCCGACCCCATGTTGACGTGGTGGTGAGGTGGCGTTGCCCACCTAGTAGAATGTGTAGCCGGCACCCGCTTCATACAGCTTACCTTGCTCAGCTAGCCAAGTCACACTGAGGGCCACAATTTCAATGTCGTAGCGCGCCAGTTCCATCGGGACGAGTGCAGTGTGTCGCTCGGGACGCTCACTCGAGTTTCGTTCCAGTAGTGTGCGCATGTTCCAGCAGCCGATGCTGAGTGCTTTGCGCGCAGGCATACGATTGCATTGGTGGGCAATCGCAATCGAGGTGGCGGATGTGCTTCGGAGGTTTGTTGAAGGACGCTCATCTATGAACACGTTGTTTTGCACCCGTTCTCAGTCGCATTTTGTCACAAAAACGTGTGTTCACACTCATTTGACCTAGATTCATCTGCTCTATCTAGTGCAGTCTTTCGGATCTAATTTTTTTGGCTCGCCTTTTATCTCCACACTGCGGTCTTTGAGCTATTGCCGCAAAAACACAGTCGAGGAATTTTCCGATTCACTAACCATGCAGAAATATTTGTGGTCGACAATGAAAGCCAAATACACGTTTCAACTAACGAATCAGCAACAACTTCTGCGTACCGTTCATCAAAGTTGCTATAGTACACCTTGTTTCCGTATCGCTCTGTCGCACTGTTTGCGCATGGACGGTCTAGCCGCGTGAATCTGCTCCTTGGGCCAGATGCAGAGAACATGACTAGCTTGAAGATGCGGACAATTCAGCGCACACGGGACCGGCGGGAAACCATAAGTGCTCGGGCCACTCTGGGAATACCATCGATCGACGCATTGGATTGTGGCGCCTATGTAACCGCAGCCAGATCGACAGTAGTTTGTGGTCTTCTTTCATGCCATAAACATTTGCGAATCGGAATCTGATGCAGCAGTTTTCAAGGCAAGTTCCATCACAAACGTTCCAAGCTCACAGTGAACCAGTTAAAGACAAACAATAGTAAACCAGATTCACCGTGGTCCTCCTGAGGACCTGCTTCCATGCGGGCTCTTCCCTTGATGGGTTTCAAGCGCACTTCCATGCTGCATCTGGCAGTGTACCGGCGCAATTTTTAAAGCATGTTAGCCATCATCTAGTTAACTCATCTTTTCGGCCGCTTTAAGTGTGTATATTGTGGACCCGTACCATCAACCAATTGTTTGAGTCAAGCCCTTTTCATCACAAATTTTAGCTTTATAAGCTTGAATTTCCCGGAAATTAGATAAATACTGTGCACGTAAAGCGTCGGCAGCATCTCCCGCGCTGCGGTATGTCCACCGATGGCAGTGAGTGGCGGGAATCGTGCTGGAACTTTCGAAATCTACTGCCGTGTTTTTAAAGACTTTCGTTCGAACAGACTCGTTTCCATAACTCCTGCTGGTGTGCTAACTTGCCTTCACGAACCAACTGCACATAGTGGTTGCGTTGATCTAGGTATGTTAACGATAAAATTATCACGTAAGCGAATATGTGGAGATTGGAATATTGCTTTGGACACCACAACTGACACGTGTGCTATCTGCTAAAATTCAGCCTGTCATCTGCTTGCCAAACCCTCCTTTACCTTCCTACTCGATGTCACGCATGATTTATTCCAACCGCAGTTGTTACCGTTCCTCGCTCCTCGTTGAGTAACTTGACCTGTGGGTCACACCTACCCGCCAACGGTTCAGACACGCTTTCGCACACACCTGCGCCTTGACACAATGGCTCCACTTGAAGCCACCAGGGAACCGAATGCATTGTATCCATCTATGCAATGTACGTCAAATACGTCACTGGGTAGGTTTATGTGACCCCATAAAAGAGCCTGGGAGATTCCGCTCACGGATTCTAACTTTGTGAGATGTATGTACAGTGGCAAGTTAGGTGATTTGCACACTGATGGTGCACCTCCAGGTTGCTTCAGCACTGAGCGGTTTATGTCGAATACGGCTTTTACATTGTTTGGCCCAGGACTCGTATGAATTGCTCAAGTCCCAAGCGAATTTGTCACTTACAACCTACGCTGTCTAATATTTTGTGAAAACGGGCACTCCCGAAACAATCAGCAGGTATCAATATGATGTAATTCGATGACCTTATCAACCGTCATTAGAATGCGGGATGAGTCGCACTCTATCAACTTACACATCACGAAGTAAAAGTGAAAAGCTACTACTGGGTATGATGAATGTAAAAGTGTTGAGATAATTTACGTTAACCTTAGAGTATATGAAACTACCCAGTTTTACTGACGGAGACAACTGCATACTTAAGTTTAGTAGATTCGGATGATAATGGTTGACAAAGGCCACTGACTGGAGGATGATGGGCATTTGCTGAGTCATTTTCACCATTCATTGGAATGTTCATAAATATGTAAGATTCGGGTTTGTTGTTCCTACACAGCCTAATTTCAATAAATCAGTGCATGAGCAGATAGAAGAAATAGGTACATAAGTCCAAAGGGAATCCGCGTAGGGGTGGGCGTTCTCGCGGTATACTCAACCCGCGCGACTGGTGGTAGTCGCGTGGCAGCGAAGCGCCGTTACGGCGTACAGCTGACACATTCCCATTATTAATAGTAGGTGAGCAGAACTCCTTCTGCTTGCGATGAATATGAAAGAATTCCTTAGGAACTTGACTCACTGCTACACTTGCTGTTTCAGCCTATATGATGTGGGGGGAAACAGCAAAGATACAAGCACCACCAAGATCAGTGTAAGCCAAAACCGTTTGACGCCCTGAGTGCAAATACATCCATTCCTATGTGACTGGCGCTCTCAAGAAACGTTAGCTGTGTCCTTTTTTCCTCAGAACACATTTGTTCACGTGATGCTCCAGGCAAAGTGCTTCCGCAAGCACTGAATTATTTCGCAAATGACGCTGTGAGCTACTGAACAGAATGTATCAAAGTTGTGCAATGCTCAAAGTACCTATGGAATATGCTAGTCACCAATACGTAATCAACTGGCAACATCCGCATCCTGTGTTATATGGTTACAAACTAAGAAAATTATATATCCAGGGATGTTCAAAGGTATATGATAATACTGTGTTCCACAATGGCAGTGCATGAAAGGATCGAAATTCACTTACCTCACCCCGCTTGAATCATTTACTGACCGAATTCAACTACCGAGAACAAAAATATAAGCTACACCTGAGTGTCTTTAGATTCGTCCGCGGGAACCAACAAACTGCAGAAGTTTGAGTAGATGACTGACGTCAACTCCCTCTTGTTACTTAACAGGTTTAATTGATTTTGTATTACTTCATCTTATTAATATGGTTACCATGGGCAGCCAACTACAGACTTATTTATTTTCCATGTTTCCAAGTGGCATCATAAGACTGAGAAAAAATACAATAGCAGATAACATTATAACTACGAGATGTTAAGCAGATTCCTCGTAGACACACACTCAGTCCTCCATAATGCATTTTACACTCAAGGCTACCTATGCAATCTCTTGTGAAGTGCTTCGCTTTATCCATTAGTTACGTATAAGTAGCCGTTCTCACCGTCGCGGATGGTAATCCACCTAGGCACATGTCAAACGACAGTGTCTTGTGCTAGTCAATTTTTACTGTCATTTATCTCGCCGTATTGATTAATCATCGTTTACAGGATTCTTTGATCTAGGCAATCGTGACCCACCTATGGTGCATTTTCTCATCCTACCTGTTACCCTTGAAAGCGCGGAACGCAATAGGGAAGCATATTAACAGTGCTGTGAACATGAACTTCTCCACAACTAAATGAGAAATTCACTAAAAGCAAAATGCATTGGATTCAACCTGCATAATGCCGAAAAAGGGGAGCAACCACGTCATACGCGAAACCACCGCATCCGTTACGAGCACAATGCCCCGCAACAATTCTCCACTGGACTTGTACCACTCAATGTCTTTGAGCAAAAGGATAGGTTTTTAAGACGTCACTTAACACCGGAATTTCACCTAACTGTTTCCAACGCAGAACTTGAGGCTGCACTTCTTAGTTCTGTAAGTTCGCTACAAATTACTTAGTATAACGTCAGACAGGAAACATTACTTTTACCTTGTTTCGCGAAGCACACAGAATCTTAGATATGGTGTGCAGGCGATTCAAAACTATCGACAATTTTGTCGAGGAGGCTTTCGGCCCTCGAATCTCTATCGACGAGGCGACAGAAAAAATCACAGAGTATATAAAAGAATCCAACTTACCCACCGGCCTAGATGTTATTTGGTGCGATGATCTTGTTGGAAGGTAAAACGCTATCAATTATTATGTTTATTGTCTGCAGTGCGCTCATGTGCAGTACTGGGGTGGACAAATACGGAAACATACCTCGTCACAGAAAGTTTACAATGCTGATAAAGACAACAGAGAATACTTATTTGCGAGAGAAAGGAATTATTAACCTAATGGACCATGAACTCGGAACGCATTACGTATCCTTTGGAGATCGTACTGGTGGTTTCTTGTTAAATGTATTCCTGTTTTGGCACTCTATCCAAGTCTAGGTTAAATACATTTAACTGCAAGCACGTTTACTAGTTAGGTCGTACTACTCAGTTGCGGAAGTCGAAAGTATGAAATTTTACAGATGATTGGTCGCGAACTTGGTTAAGTGCTCGTTTTGTGATTGAATCGCTTCAGAAAACCTGAGCTTAAAGCTTCTCTTCTTTGAAGTAACTCTCGGTCACTATAGTTACTCAGACCTCATCTGAAGCAGATAAATGATAAGTGCTACTCGTTCCCTGCACTGCAACACATCGCCAGTCTTGTGCTTGCCCGTATACGCCTGGTAAATGCAGCCGAAATGGAACTGGAAACAAGATGCTATGAGTAACTTCAGATGCCGTTACTACTGCAGCGCTGAGCTCCTCAGGTGTAGCTTGTCACAACAACCAGGAGCTCTTTGTTTCCACACCAAACTCGACAGATTCCTATACATAGAAGTGGTATTATCCATGTTCTAATTTAACAGGTCACCTGATGAAATGTTTCAAGATTGACCAAATATAAAGAGCAAACATATATATATATATATATATATATATATATATATATATATATATATTGTGATCAATATATTTGGTCTATCTTGAAACATTTCATCAGGCGATCTGTTAAATCAGAACATGGATAATAGCACATCGAGATATAAGAATCTGTCGAGTTTGGTGTGGAAAGATTTAGGGTTTTCACATGCACTGATTGCAGTTGGTAGACTGTTCCACAAGGTTGCGTATCTGATGAGGAATAGGTTGAAGGGCACGGTTGTTCTAGCTCTTGGTATCATTAACGGAAATTTCTTGTTACAGAGTCTGATGGAATGCGATTTGCTTCAGAGCAAAGCGAGGGCTGCGTTGATGCTGAAGCTACCTGCCAAGATTTGCTTTACTGCACCCTATCTGCAGTACACAACGGATTGAAAAACCCGTTGGCCTACACAAAAGATCTGTAGGTTATATCAATAAATCAAGTGCAATTTGTTTATTCTCTGCGGATTGTCACCTGGATAAGTAGAATTCATCACAAATTCAGTCGAGTGGAAGAAATTTAATTGAAGCCTTGTGATAGGCATGCGATACAGATTAATGGCAGGAAGCAATAACAGAGAGTAAAATCCATGCCAACGCTTGGAAAAACATCGATAAATCATGAAGAACAGCACAAGTCGTACACTGAAATTTAAATGAATTTTTGGTGTAGCAACATGATTGTTGATCTGGTTTCTGATGCTTAGGAGCGCCCAGCAGTTCCCATCGCGGCGTGCGCGTAGCCTTTACTAACATCTGCAGTCTGGTGAAAAAATGCGACGATCTGTACTACGTTGTAACCTCTCAGCGGTCAGGTATATTAGGCCTTGCTGAGAAATGGTCAAAGTACACGTAACGGTCCAAGAAGTGGAAATCCGCGGCTACTCGTGCCTCCTCTAAGGTAGACCAGCAAATGATCGCAGTGGCGTTCTGCTTTACATAAGGTCTTCCTTGTGTGGGAGACTAGTGAGCACCTACCGAAGGGCTGATGGTCCATTTGAATAGTTATGGTGTTCGATTCACCTCAGACGCTGCGAGATGCTCGTGGGGCGTGGTATATCGCAGTCCACTGAGCCGCTGCTTGGACTGGTTGCCGCAAGTCCGCAAGCACATGAGTCGTCAGCTGTTCCTACGCATGGGCGATTTCAACTTACCTTGAATCCAGTGGCCTGAGGTTGAACTTCTCCCCGGCCATTATGAAGTTGAGAGGAAGTGTACGGAGTTGATATTTGAAACCGGGGCCACACAGTACATCAACCAACCGACGCACATAACTGAGCGTGCGACTCCATCGTGCTTATACCTGCTTTTAACCAGCTGTGAGCGACGTGTGCATGACATTCAAGTCTTGGAATCCCTGGGAGCGAGTGACCACTGGATAATAATAGCCAGCTTGAAAGTGCCGCTGCCGTATTCTCCCCCGCTGGAGCCAGCCTTCAACTACTGGAAGGCGGACTTTAATGGCCTCATGAGCAGCGAGCCAATAGAACTGGTCTTTGCCAGAGGATTCGTCTATTGAAACCTGTTGGACTATCATTAAAGCGGGAGTGAAATCGTTGTGCGCCCGATCTGTAACCCTCAAGTATCGAAAAGTTGGACCAGTCAAACCACATTGGTTCGACAAGGAGTATAGCAAACTGGCCCGATGATGACGCAGACTATGGAACAAATTCGTGTTATCTGACTCTGATGAAGATTACAAGGCGTACGAAGTGCAGCGAAATCTGTAACAACGCGAAAAGAGAAAAGCGCAGAAGCTTCGAAGAGCAGCTTTCAGTTGTAAAAATTGCTCCCAAGAGGATCTTCGCCTATGTGAGGCGGCGCCTGAGGTCTGCAGGCAATGTGCCAGCGTTGGAAGGCTCAGCTGGACAGCGCCTAATCTCGAGCACGGATCATGCATGCGCGTTGGCGGCGCACTTTGCTTCCGTATTCGCAAGTGACCAGGTGCCTGTAACGAGTTCGATGAGTACCGCTGCCTCTGAACTAGACAGCCTGGATTGCAGCATTGAAGATGTATGCAAACTTCTGCCAAGTCTTGACGAGACGAAGCATGCCGGGCCAGATGGAATTCACCAACTGATGCTCAAGTACCTATCGACCATCATCTCGCCTTCTGTAACTGAGCTGTTCAACTGGTCACTATCCACAGGACTATTACCGGGCGACTGGAAATGCTGTCATAACGCCCATACCGAAGAGTGGTAACCCAAGCAAAGTGGATAACTACCGGCAGATATTTCTGACCGCTATTTTGGCAAAGACGCTCGAGAAGATCGTGGAGAAGATTCTTCTGCCGCTTCTCGAGTGGAAAAGTCTCTTGACGCCCGCACAACATGGTTTCGCGATAGGTCACTCGAGCATCACCAACCTCCTGTTGACGAGCCACGAATTGTTACAACCGCTGAACCAAAACAAGTCGCCGAACGTCATTTCCATTGACTTCAGTAAGGCTTTTGACAAAGTAAATCATGTAGTGCTCCCCGACAGGCTGAGAGTATGTGTTGTTGGCGGCTCGCTGCACCGATGGATCAAGGATTTCCTTGTTGATCGAAAGTGCAGAATCCAGATGGACAACCATTTGACCGACTGGTATCCATCGAACGGTGGCGTGCCCCAAGGCACTGTACTGGGGCCTATTTTGTTTCTGATCCATGTAAACGATGTGCCTCAGTTACTCCGTTCACCTTGTGCGTTGTTCGCAGATGACTTGAAGGTGTGGAGAGTAATCCGCACACCCAATGACTGTGACCTGCTTTAGCAGTACCTCGACAGCCTCTCCACGTGGTCTGCAGAGATCAACCTTCCGATCAACCCGGTCAAGTCGCAATTCATGAGGCTGGGTAAGTGTGCGCACGGTCGAACATACACGGTAGCCAGTCAACCGTTACATCCCGCGTTTTTCGTGCATGACCTCAGCGTACTCTCACGCTACGACTTAAGTCCATGGACAACACGAATAGGCTTTACCAAAACAGCCTTCGTGTGCTTTGGGCGCTCAGACGCAACTTCAGCAGTTGTTCCGAAGAGATTGCCACTCGTCTCTTCGTCTCAATAATATGACCGATGCTAGAGTATGCATCTCTCGCGTATTGTCCTATCACCCGGGGCGAGGTAGAAAAGATTGAGCGAGTGCAGCATATAGCCACCAGGCTGATTCCCAATTTACGAGGTGTGCCGTACGAAGAGCGGTGTAAGAAACGGGCTCTACACCCTAGCTTATCGATGACTACGGGTTGACCTCATCATGATGCACCGGATATTACATCTGGGAGATTACCCCATGTTGAGACAACTGCTTCATCTGCACACACCAAGCAGCACACGAGGACACCGGTGCAAGATTGTCATACCGGATTTGAAGCGGGTCGCTCACCAACTGTGTTACGAACGCAGAGCGCTGAAAGCATGAAACGACCTGCCGCAGCACGTAGTTGAGGCAAAGTCGGTGGCAGAATTTCAGAAAGTCCTGGACAAACACTTTGCCGATATAGAATATATCGAGCACACCCTAACATAAAGGGTCTTTGTCTCTGAGTGACATTAGATGTAGCTACACAGAGAAACCTCTTCTTGATGCTTTCAACCAGTAATCAGTAATCTGGCGTTAACAAGGGTGTAGCATACGATTTAGATTTTCATCCTAGAACCATATCCGTTTGACTTTATCTATTCAACATATATGTATACGCGGTTGATGTTACTACATCTCCTTCATTCAGCGCACATAATCACTTGGTACTGATGAATTTGTTACAAAATATGGCCGAAGCGAGTGAATTGTCATAATGCTCAATAGGTTTGCCCACAATGACAGTTAATTGTAACTTAAAGTAGGCGGCACGACTTTATACTTAATGAACGTCATTAGATCTGACGGATTAGGATGTTTTTCGAAATCAGAAGCCTACATTTCCAAAGCATCCAGTAGCTAAAATTCTCTAACAGAGCTAACCCGAAGCACCGATCCTTCAACGAAGGTCTCCAGCCGTGGTATGGCAAAAGGGAGATTTATGGTCTGGGCCCCACAAACACAAATGAAATGATCAAAATTGAAGAAGGGCTGGCGTGCATCCACACCATACTGAGGGCGCAACATCGCTATCTTGGAGTTCCAGCGCTGCTGTATTGTAAGTTTAATAACGCTGATAGCTTTGTTGGAGTAGTTCTTGTGAAGACCATGACATGCAATCACTGAACTGCAAATCAATAGAAAGTTAACTTTGACTACTTTGGCCACTGAGACCGTACCTGTAGTAGATAATGCTATTCTCGGGTAAATCGTGCATGTTTTGAGTCTATGTGATAATAGAGATAATGGGTATATTTCTTTTTAAGTCAGCAGCTGAGACCATATTTGGCACAGATCAAATAGGTACAGGTATACCATGCTCTTGCATAGGCAATATGAAGTTGTGGGGAATAAAAGACGACGGTATGCTCATTGTCGATGCGAGGTACATCCAACTGGATGCCATGGTTAAAAAGAACACGAGACCATAGGTGAACAATTGTTTTCGATGATTCTCTTCAGACCATTACAATCATATTTAAGGGTAAAATAAGAAACTGAAATCGACTCATTGGCTCAAAGTGCATAGTTAAGTAAAGTTTCAGTGAGGGAGGTTAAAAGTTGACCTTTGACCTGACAGGTCGATTGCATACTACCGAGCTTGATTTGTGGCAGTCGACCTCAGCATCGTTCGTGCTAGTTGGCCAGGGAAGCTTTAAGGCATGGAGCAACTTCTTTTACAAGCATGCAGAAGCTTGAAACAACCGGATGCAACTCGATTCAGGTGTCGCGAGCGCACGGAGGCGCAAACCTCTTGACTTAGGCTGGGGAACCCTGTGAATTATCCTGAAGGCACGCTTTAGGTCAGCTAGGTGCCCCATGTCGACAATATGGGCCAGAACGGCGCTATTAATGGCCCCAGAACGAACGATGCTGAGGTCGGCTGCCACAGATCAAGCTCGGTAGCATGCAATCGACCTGTCAGGTCAAAGGACAACTTTTAGCGTTCCCCACTGAAACCTTACTTAACTATGCACTTTGAACCAATGAGTCGATTTCAGTTTCCTATTTTACCCTTAAATATGATTGTAATGGTCTGAAGAGAATCATCGAAAACATTTGTTCACCTATGGTCTCGTGCACTTTTTAACTAGATGTCATGGTTATTGTTGTACGGCGGAATCGCAAGGGGCAGATGTTTACTTTTTCTGTCCTCACTGTTTCATCATTTATCCCTAAAATTCCATTACCAAGGAAGTTATTAACGAAACCGGCTGCTGGACGAAAAGCTAGTTCGTAAGATCTTTCCTTTAAACTTGGGATGCAACCGAAATTAGAGATTTTAAATCAGCGAAAACTTCTACCCACGGTTACAATCTGTAATGAAGTATACTATTATTCTTGTACTCCGAAAGAACACCGATTAAGGTTGTTTCAACAACCTGGTGAACTACTCCAGATGAGTATTTTATACCCTAATCAGATTGGGTCTGCAATAAAATTGTGAAGAGTTGCAGAGCAAAATGAATGAAACCAATAATCTGTTTAAGAGAGCAAACCCGGTATGAAATTATTTAATACTAATGCTAACATGTAGTCACAGGCACTGTTATTTTACTTTTCAATATAGAGGATTTTGTAAGCCAAAATATTACAAGTAACAACGACGTATTTTCACCGAACTGGCATTCTTTCTGGTCGAGTCAGCAATGACCATTTAAAGCAGAGAAAGTAGAAGCTGGGCCTACTTAGTGTTTAATGTAGATGAATATACTGCAAGTCGCAATACACGGGTTTTAGGCTTCTCAAATCAATTGCAAGTAAGTCCTAAGTTCATAAAAAACCATCTCATAAACATAGCTCTGTTGACAGCATAGAAAGGAGATGGGATGGTTAGTAATCGTGAACTGCATGCGAAAGGTGAGATGTCTCGAAGTCTCGGGGTGGGAAAAATGCCTGCCGTTCCATCAACGATGTCGGCTGGTAGCCGAGTAGGTTACGCTCTTGCCTTGTAATCCTGAGGTCACAGGTTCGAATCCGTGCAGTTGCGGTTGACCTTATGCTATACCCAGCCCACGCGTAGCTGGTGGTTGTCGCGTTGCAGCGAAGCCTCGGTACGGTGTGCTGGTGTACTGCTGATGCATGCTCATGTACGATCATGTAACTTAGGGCGAATATCACTGGTAACGGCCCGCAGTTTCAAAACAATGAGTACACCGAATTCCTAGGGCAATGGTGTCTGATGATTGAGGACTGTACCTTATTATCCTGACGCGAATGGACACGTCGAACGACTTACTCGTACCAGTAAAAATATCTCTACAAGTCCTTCTGCTTCCGGCAGAATCCTGTAACGATGCGTTGGTATCTGCCTTAGAAGCATACAGAACCACGCCGCACACTGCAACGACAAGCCCCTCGGAACCACAGCTGGGGCGAATCATTAGAACTGGATTAAATGCAGCCTTTAAATCCCATAAAAGCGTAGGTCGGAGTGAATACGAAAGACGGACTATTTACCAGGATTTTGGAGAACGTACCCCCAGGGAAATTTGTTCGTGTGAGGTTACCCTATTCCCGGCAATGAGGTAATGTTTTTAGACCCCCTGACCCATGTGGAATCTCTGTGCGCGTCAGGAACCTACAAGGTGGCCGACGGAACAAGGACGAATCCGAGACAGCTGTATACTGCGCTTTCTCAACGTGCTGTTGAACAGACAAGCGGACCTACAACACATCGCTTGCTACAAACCTACGGTGATCTGGTAGGATACGCCGTCCTGTCTATGGATATTTTCTAACAGGTAACACCACATGACACTTCTTAGGGTACTGATGATGATGAATTAGCTGAATTATTACTTCGTAGGATGCTGACATTAAAACGGATCGTACATGGGCACGTTTTGCTTACCTTTTTAAGAGCGGAGGAGAGGCAAGATCATTTTCCAATACTTTGCTTTGTTTGTGCTATCCATTCATTTATACCACCCATGCTTCTACCTAACACTCATTAGCCGAGCCATATGCTCTTGCATCTGATTGGTTGTAATCCTAACGCCTACCTATTAGATGGTAACGCGCATATGTGTAGACAGTTTTTCCATATATACGTTCAGTTGCTGCTCTGCTCTGCTGCTTTTTCGGGATACAACACAGCTCTCAGCTAGTTTCAAACAACTCCCAGTGGTGCAACCCTGCGGTTCGCAATGTATGCATGGATGTCACTTTAAAATGGGTTTCGAACTGTCTCGCTGAGTCAAAGCCAAAAGGAGAACTTATGACCTACAACTATCCAAGTTGCAAATGAGGCGAAGTGACCTTCTGAAAACATAAGAGGAGTTGATTGAAATTTTGTTTGCTCGTTGGTGCCTTGTAGCTCGATCACCGAGGCTGAGCTTCCGCTTTAAACTGCGCAATTCAAACCGACATAACGGCCAAAGGGCGTGAGAGTTTGAGTTGCCAATCAAAAATTAACGATAATTTTACGACTGATATTCTCTTAAACCCATTCCAATGAACAATGCTTAGGGACAGGGGGCGGTAAAAAGCAGTACAAATTATAAACATAGTTCCAGAATAATTAGTAGTCTGCGTCATAAGGTAACAAGTGATGCATATACATCTTCAGGCGTCGACAGAGGAATCCGTGCATTGACAGTAATATGGAGCTCAAGTGCAAATATTCAAGCTCACGATGAGCAGAGCTGCAGCTAACTTTGCGTAACAGATCAAAGAGGGATACTATGCGACATTAACAACGCTATCCGGTGGTGTGCCTGGACAATCATTAGTGAGGACGATTAGCAAAGTTTGCTAATGCAAGTAGAATAGTCTTTATTCCCATTGAAATAATTAACTGAACTAAACAAATGCACCGTAAAAGTTATAGGCTGAATATTTACTAATCCACTAATATATCTGCGTGAAAAATTGTCAAATACAAGATATCATGACCGACAGAAATGCGCGTCCAGTATAACACCTGTTCGGAAGCTCTTCCATCATCATAGAGGTCTTATTTTAGTGGTTGTATCTAATACAACAAAATATTTTCCGGATATCTGGGGACTAGGCCACCGACTGTCTAACGTTACGTTGTTCATTGTTCATTGTTCATTGATCCATCTCGCCTTCCTGATTAGGCTTCATATAACTCGCTCCGTGTTATGTGCAAACAACCAAGAATGTAGCGGGCAACACGTAGCAGTAGTGAACATTGAAAATATACGAAGTTATGGATGTGTATAAGGCTTTCGGTTTGTTCATCCTGTCTGGTGCTTGCTTTGCAGACGTCTAGTCATGCATGTTACTTTAGGGTTATAAATTGTGTCCTCCTTTCTTTTCTTCTCTATAAGCTCATGCTTCCAGATTAATGATTTAGTGGCAGCGAATTACTTGCTAAGTTGTTTAAATACCGCAATAGAATGTAATAAGAAAACGCGAATGAGCTAGTTGTTCTAGAACTATGCAAGGCAGCAGGAGAGCTAATACAGTTTTCTTACAAATAGGCCTATGAAGACGTAACATTGACGAGGTCAAATTAAAAATATATAGTGAAAACTACGCTCAGACTGTAGGAATATTTAATATCAGTCGTTATCAGGGTACCTAATCGAGTAACAATGTCAAAGTTACATGGAGTCGAACGGAGCATACCAAATTCGACAGGCTAACAGAAGATGTGGACACATGAGACGAGAGGAGCCGCACAGTAACTTATCTAGTAGGCGAGTGTGAGGTACATGGACGGAAGATGGGGAGCAGTAAAACAATAAAGAATATTGTGCATTCCACAAGAATAAAAATTGACACAAAAGATAAGATATATCTCTGGCGGCGCTACGACACCATTGATGACTTCTGAATACAGGTCAAATGGTGGACACTGTGGTAGTATAAGTTAAGTGCCTAATAAATAACCTTTTAATTGTGCATAGATTGGCTATCTTCATGAAGGAGACTTGCCATTTAATAGAGTAAAATGCATTACGGCGGTGACAAGTTAGAAATGGACCGGGAAACTTAGGTGAAACAAACCTCATTTAGTATTATTTAAAGTTAACTGAAGGGAAGAAACACTTCAGCTGCTATGCCGCAATACAAAAGATAAGATAA